CCATTCCAACTGCGCAAGAAACCTCACTCTTGCAAAGTTCAAAAATGCCGAAGAGCGGGGCAGTGGTCGCGGCCGTTACCGTAATCGAGGCACCCGTGTCCACCAATGCCAAAACGTGAATGTTATTTACCCTTATGGGGATCTGCGCAACGAAAAGGCGATCAGAATCGGTCAGTGCTAACACGTTCACCGGAGCCATAATTGCACGAGGAGGCCATGAATTGGTGGCGTCAATTGCCAAACGAGGGAGTTCGATCGCCTCTGCGGAAGTGCGCGGCGGGGGAGCAGGAGCAGCCGGCGTACGCGAAGCAGCCGATTGAAAGTACGAGTAGGCACAACCGAACAGATCTGTGGATTGGGGCAACCGCCCTGGATAATAAATATTAATATAGAATGATGAGGCGACCTACGAGCTGAATAGAAACGAGGGCGCAGCAAATCGCCACCCAAACATCAAAGCACGACCAGGACCCGAAGACCCATGTCCAAGCCACCGAAAGAGGAGAGGCAGAAGAAGACGATGCGAAAGAAGTGTGCACGTCATTGGCGACGGCAGAGAACAGCCGATCGTGACTAACTGTGGACCAGAGCTCTTGCCATTGATGGTCTTGTATGAGCTCGCTGAGGTTGGTCAAGACCAGATTATGAAAAATGGTCAGCGGGAGGGAAAGAGCCGAAGCGTTAACGGTGTCAGGCAAGGTGACATCGCGTACCGCGGAAGACGGGAGAGAGCCAGAATAACCAGTTAGGGGATCAAACTTCAAATAACCATCAGGTGTAGCAAATAGAAAATGCCCTACCGAAAAGCACGGAACAGGCTGTGCATTGCGGGACACGACTAACGTTGATGGGTCCACGAAGGATTGCAAAGTGGTACGGCTGGGAAGGGTAAGCTCCACCGCGGGCTGGGTGAGGCACGAACCGTTGAAATAAAGCAGCCTTATGCTCTGCGGAGGATACGCGCATGCAACGGTGAATGCGAACTACCTCGTTGCCGAGGTAGGATGCGGCAAGGTCGTGACGGTCTGACAAGTTTCGCACCGTGAAGGTGGGGTTAGGCTTGTAGCGACGTATGGAGTGCCATTGCTAGCAGTTAATCCTATCGCAGAGCGCAGAAAGGGCATGGTGGAAAAGGGCTGTCACCTGTTGATCCTATCGATCCCTTCTACTGCCTAGGAGCTGTGCCGCCAGCTGATTCGACAAGACGACCCCATCATCGGTGTCGTAGGTGTTGCGGGAGACCTTTTTTTATAGCCGCGAGCGCATATCCCTGATCGGAGAGGGTCAAATCTACGCCGCAATCCCGTATCTGCGGCGCTGTTGTCACGCCATGAAAGCGCGAACTCCTTCGAATCGCTTATCCAAATGTTACCAATTAGGTGACCTGACATCCGCATTACCGGCACAAAATGACACTGCTCCTCCGTATTGGGGGTCCAGAGAAGCGCGAACCGTCGCGAAGGGTGCAACTACCAGCGTCGTAACTACAGTGCTTCATGTTACCTGCAGGCGAGTCAGGCAAGTTAGAGCCGTGGCGCATATGGATCTGCCACTCCTCACTATGTGGCATATGAGCGACTTAACATTTTCGCGAACAACGAACTATTGCGTTCAAGAACAAAATACCCACGCAATCTTACCGAATTGTGCGCACGAAACACAACTACACAATGAACTCCTAAATTTCATATAGACCCTATTCAACTCACCAACCTCTCAACTCCAAACACCAGTACTTCTTCAACTATAAAATGCTCATACCTCTTCTCCATGAGCCTTCAGCGCTTCGTCGCTTTACTTCTCCGAGCTTTGCTCGCATCGGCCCTGCCGGAACACTTCCTCGTCGATTTTCGCTGCGCAGCCACGACGGAACTTCTCTTCTGCACTCTGGTGCACTTCCATTTATCTGAAATGGGCATCACTCTTCAACTCGTCAGGCCTGACCTTTTAACACTTCTTAACACGTAGTACTTCCCTGTACTCGTACCAACACGTCTGGACTCTTGACCAACCGGTACCGGGTTTTCACTGTTTCATCTTTTTTTCTAACGATTTAAGCCTCCGTTCAACCAGGCATC